GCGACGGTTGGATCCACTGGTATATCCAGCCGAAGTTGGTGACTTCGTTAATCTTGGCCGGAATAGGAGGGTACCAGTCGCTTAAACAGACTGATGCCTTACTCTTCTGTACAAAGCATAATACGTAAGGCGACGTTGCAGCAAACTTGACTGTGATGGCCTGATGCATGTTTGCTCTGTCGCTACCTTCTATTGGCCGAAACAATGCAGCGTTTCAAACCGACGCGTGCGCGCGAAATCCAATTGATTGCACAGATATCTCTGAAGGTGTTGCTAAACTCTCAATAGCGCTTTTACGTGCCTAGCACGCTTGCGCGAATCTAATTGGGTTTGTGCATTTCTCAGCATCTTGCACTCTCAAGTGATGTATACTCGCTTAAAAAAATCTGAAAAAACCGTCGTCGGAATCTCCAAGCTAGCTTTTGGATATTTCTTACTGCTGCTTTCGACTGCTGATCTCGGACGCAAATTAGGAGTCTACGAAGTCTTTGCCATATAAAATGTAAAGAAGTGGCCGAACTTCTAGTTTGTAGAATTGAAGTTGATTAACTTCGATGGAATTTTCGAAAACCAAAACCGCGGCAATCCAGTATTTATGCACATTAAGTGGGTCATTTTATATATCAGCAGGAGCATTAAACTACCAAAGATATTAATTAACCTCAATCGTCTAATAAAGCAAATCACTCATAATATGGGCAGATGACGATGGCCGCACGCAAGTAGACACACAACCCAGTGACATTGTGAACTCCATTTTATTATTTGGGCAGGAGCGGATCACTCTCAAAAGATTCTGAAACCGTAATCTATCCACTGTAAGTAGCAAGGAGGAAAACGAAGCAATGCCAATCCTTATGCACAGTCCTTATTAATAGGTTGCGGCGGATTTTGTTCTTGTTTCATGAAAAATCAGCTGATTTTAGGAGGCTGAAGATCACATTTTGACCGACGGCGTCATAACGCACGCTTAAATATGCACCACCAATAGCACGACGTCTACTTTCGAGGCATCTTCCTCATAATTTTCAGTGTGTAGTATGAAAATCTGTACCACAGCAAAAGTTAACCCTAACGTTATATTATATCTACATTGCAAACGAAACACAAACTTAAGCGATCTGTTCAATTGCCAAAGGCAATGCACGGCTGCGGATCGGAACCTCTCTCTTGTGCGCTGTCCACTATAAACCAACACTAATATAAGCCTCACATGTTTACCTTTACCTTTTCGGAGAACGCCTCACATGTTTACCTTTACCTTTTCGGAGAACGCCTCACATGTTTACCTTTACCTTTTCAGAGAACGCAATTTTCCGTTTTGCGTTCATAAGGCTCAGGTATGAGAAAGTGCCATTCCTTTCGAGAAATCAAGGGCACAGGCAGTTGAAAAAAATTCTGTGTTACCCATTTGTGACCTTTTGTGCCATAAAACTCAGTAATGAAACTGTGCTACTGTAGTTCTTTTCATCACTCGGATAATTCCCACCACACACAACTTTGTATATGCATACATGAGATTCCGCGCCATGCTTACAGTTTCACTGACACGCCGTAAGCGAAGGATGTTCAATAATGGTGTATGTGCAATTGACTATAGACGAATGGGGAAGCCTACAAAAAAGCTCATACATATTTACCTATACCAAATTAAATGTCAAATGTCACCTTCTGGAGGTACTACATTTCAAACCATACGCATGCAAATGTAAGCTGACGGTTAAATTGCCAAATTCAACGCACAGCAACGGATCAGCACCGCTCTTTTGCTTCATTACTTACTACTAAAATCTTCAACTGCCTTCTAGAACAAAATATTATTGTGGATTATTCTCTGACCAGTGGTGTTTGCGACACTTACATTCTCATGGTCGCCCCTATGTTGTGAAGTTGTGTTTCAATCACTTCCCTCCTAGCATCTGACCCTCCCAAACTTGCCGCAGAGTAAATGCATGCAGCCTAGATTGTGCCGCTACCGGACAATGTCCTCGCGCGGAAGCGCAATCTGCCTGACGTGTACTGATAAATGCGGGTTGTTGGCTGCTTACTACAAACGCAAGCCCTACAACAGTAGCAAAAAAGAAGCGTCTTTATACGTCATCGGAGGAGAAGTGCAATGCTTTGATTGCTTTAACTACTAAAGAAATGATAAGGAAGATAGCTTAAAGTGAAATTAAGAATTTTTCCTAGCCTACAATGGCGCCAAAGGTACGTCTTTACGTGTTCCCATCAGCTACACCGACCCGCACTAAAAATCCAAGAGATTTCTGCCTAAACAACTCAAAACATCGCAGTACGACAATGAAATATAAATATAACTTACTGACATTCTTCCCGCTCTGCTTCCTTAGCTCACAAACTAGACCATAATCCCCCTTCCCATATCACTTGCTATCCCGTCCATATACCACTTAAAACTATCCGCCAAAGGCTCCTCGATAGCTGTTCCAGATCTCTCATTACACCACCGTGTCGTGGGTAAGGTGCAGTTCTCAAGTCCTATGATTACAAAAAATGGACTTGGTCTAACCCTTCATGGGAAGCGTAGGCTAACAGGTCATCTGTCATGCAATTAGCTGCAAAACAGACTGAGTACAGTGATAAGGTCTTTAGAAGAGTTAATGCAGTAGCTACAGCAAAAGTGCAGTCAACGCACGTTTCGGGTTCATGCTAGAGTCAACCATCAGAGGCAACGGCATTAATGGTGAATTCAGGCCCAAGTGTTTGCAGTTTGTGAAGCATAAAAGCACTATGCTACCGCATAAGTATGACAACTGATGGCTGTCTCCACTGCTTTAGAGCAATAATGCCTCTATGGTCATCATTTGCGTCATCGATAGCTGATATTTCATCCTTCGTGTTGAAAACCGGTGTGATTATCGTTCTACCATTCGGATCATCGATAATGGCCTTGAGAACACCGTTCAGGTGTGCACCGTCCTTGTCGCAAATAATTTGCTCAAACCTGGTCTTTTCACAGAATATGCGGATGAGCAGATGTCCTCGTAAATATCGTTGCCGTTATCAGTTGAATAGTATTTTATACGAAGCATATACAACAACATCCTTTCTTATACTCATTGATCACTGAAATTTAATCACCCGTATTCGAACTTACCGTAATTATTGCTCTACAATCTGTACTCATTTGACAGTCATTCTCGTCTTTTTTCAAATTCTTAACTCGAGGAAAGACTTTTGTTGACGAAGACGTATGCTTATTTTGGTTTAGCACAAACACACACAGTTTTTAGACTAGAAACATGAAACAACACCGCGGCAGGTCGTAATCCGAAATATATGGGAAACAGAAAACTTTTTAATACATATATAGACATTTATTTCGAGTATGTAGTATGGAGAAGACGTTGTTTGCGACTATCAGAGTGCAACTAACAGACTGCAGTTGATGGCCAAGGGAAGCTGTGGCGAGCCTGCCTTAGAGCGTAGACCTTCAGGTCGCAAAGTAAGTGCAAGTGGCAGGTAAATATTGTGAACAGCCT